CACAATATTTCTTGCATGCTGGTAGAGCATCACACATCACAAAGATAATAATAATGTAAGCAGTAAAATATCCCAAGCAAACAAAAAGCATCTGTAGATCTTGCCTAGCTGGCTAGTATTATTGGGATGTTTCTTTTTAGCTTAATATACCATTAATGCTTTGCAAATGTATATGTGCATGCTGAGGGCTGGCCAGGAGTTGAACTGCCTTTATAATGGTTATATTGAATTGCTGCACTGTGCCTGAATGCTTACAGACACATAAGAGGACAGGAAAGATACTCAAGAAACTGATAGACCATGCCGGATCTGGTCTACCAGCTCTAGTTACAGGAGAATGTAACGTGCTATAAACAAGATGTGAAGAAAAATTTATAAAGGTACTTGGTGAAATGCTGCTATGCAACTGAAGTGTTTGTTAGCTGCTGTCCCAGGATGGATTGTCTATGTCCCTTTGTTGTGCTGCTCTCTTTAATAAATAACACACCAAACTCAGAGATATGATTTAACTAGAAAGATTTGTATCATTAAAAACTTGTAACAGATGTAGAGAGAAAGCTATTCTGCCCCCCATTCTCTTCCAGTGCCTTTTGTTTCCTTCGCTATCTGTAATAGTTGAAGGCTATAACATATCTCTCTGAGCCTTCACTTCCAGACTGATACTTGCCAGTCTGTCTTTGGAAAGTCAAGGTCATTTCTGCAGTGTGCAGGAGTAAATATTAGAGGTATAGACAGGAACTGTGACTGTTTGGTTTTCTAATGAACTGTGCTTCATTATAGGCAGCATTTCCTATAGAAAAAAGGTGAACTGTTCTTTTGTAACATATATTAAACCTGATCTAAATTTTTTCCCTTGGCTTTAGCAGGCTGTGGGGATCAAGTCTATGTTGGGGATTCTTCATGCAGACTGTGGATGCAATCAGAACCCACAACTGGCTTTCAAGCTATTTCAGCCTGTACTGCCCTCAACCCAGGCCGGCCAGCTCTGATTGCAGATACAGAAATTAGAAGACATCTGATGTTACCTTGAAATAAAGTGGCCCGTGAAGAAATCCTCTCTTGGGAATCCTGGATTTCCTGTTGTGTTCACAAAATCCTTCTTTACTTTCTCTAGAAGTATGATTTTGCTGGACAATTAAGATTGTAAGCATTAATCTGAAAAGGTTCCCAATGGGAGGATATTGGCTACACAGGTAATAGAGCCTTACTAAGACAGGCCCCCTTTCAAGAGTCAAAGATCTTTAGGTTAAGAGGTAAAAGACTTTTAGAAAAGTTAATTTTGCATCAGTACGTCATGGATTGTAGTACATCCAAGAGCATTGTCTTTCACAGGTCCTGACAGTCTGATGTCCCTAGAGATCCTGCTGCACATATCATTGCTTTCAGTGGTAGCTCCTGGGCAAGAAGGACGAGTTTATCTCAGAACAGCTCCCACAAAGTGGTGGTATACCAGACATGGAATTGATTTGTCCCATCTCTGCTGTGCAATTCAAGTTCTTTTGGGGTTCTCTTTCTAGATTCATCTGTTTAGTAGCACTGCAATATGAGCTTCAAAAATGGCTGATTTCTGTCTCACAGACATATGCTTAAATTCCTTCTTCTATAGCAGTTTGTAGAGCATCTTCATTTCCTGTGCTGTTCAGTGAGAAATCAATTTAGGATTAGGGTCCTTCAGCAAGGAGCCTGTTGCAGAAGTCCTTCAGACATTGCATGGTACAAGAACTTATGATTCTTATGACTGAACATTCTGATATAAATATGAGACTGCTGTATTTGTGGCAAAATCTTGATACAGTCTTGCTGCTATGTGGGGCATTTAAGAGATCCTGAAATATCTTTGAATGTGAAACAATGGGAAGCTGCTTACCTCATGACATCATAAGATAAAATAAGGTCAGGAAAAAAGTCATGTTTGCAAGTCCAGTAACAGAGCTGCAAGAATTATTTGCAAGAAATAATTTAGTTGCCAAATATAGCAATCAAATATCCACGAGTTGATCAGTCTCTTTGATTCAGGAATCACTGGAATTTATTTGGTGACTACCTTCAATATTTATATTCTGTGGACTCTCTGTCACTGGAGGTGGAAGAGGGATAGCTGTGGTTTTAATGCTATTTGCAAAAGCCTATTCTGTAATTTTCCCCTCTGGCATCTGTCTTTGCATTACACGAAGCCAGGCATTTAAGAGACTACAGTTTTGATGAAAAGACTAACAAGTTTAGTGTTCCTACAAGAATTAATTTTTAGCATGTAGGAGGCTTCACACAGGTTCATGAATCCTCACAGATCCTTCACATTATGTTTATTTTATTAGCCCTACAATTGAAATGGTAAAAGAACAAAACTTAATAAAGAAGACTGTTGATGCTGCGTGAGCGAAGTGGGGGACATTGTTCCATGAGCCCATTGATTCAGAAGATCAGCATGAAGCTCAGTGCACAGACGGGCAAAAACACGTCAAAGGCTGTTGCAGGTAGTGCTGCGTTGGTAAAGGCAGCATGGCCACCCAGTCACTTTCCAGCCACCACGTAGCAGAGGAAAGACGTCATGCTGCAGACGTCTGTTACTCTGTTTGCTTACCCTTACCCCGGTTCCTGAGAGTTTTGGAATAGGTTCTGACGAGTGCGTATGGCAGTCATTGTTTATGGCCATACTTCACGATGTCCTACTGACTTAAAGAGCCCAAATTTGGCCCTCTGTAATTTAACCAACAACATACACAGCGACCTCTCAGCTAAAGAGCTGGGAACAAAACTTAGTTCCTGGTTTCCTGCCTATTAATTTAGTACATATCTGATTTGAAATCTGTTTTCTACATACCCTTGCGTGCATTCCTTGGCACATGTGCTTCTTGCCATTATGGGGCAGATCCCATAGATTTTCTGCGTCATTAGTAGAGAGAGCCAGTCATTAGGAAAAAAAAAAAAAAAAAGCTTATTTGCCTGAGCCGTTAAGATTTTTTCTCACAGTTCTGCCTGTGGCGCCTGTCACTAGCAGTCAAATAAGGACAATTTTACCATTCTCTCCTGCTGCTCTAATTTTTTTTTTCAGTGCCAGTACATGTATTTGTTATTCTTTATAACTCCCTTTGAAGTTGGGAATCCAAGGGGAATCTAAAACCGACCAGATGTTTCTGCTGCTGGAGACACAGAAGACAGCAAGGATTAAGTTTAACTGAAACTTACTTCTCTACAAAGCCCATTACAGTCAAAATTCTTCCTCAGATAGATTTATTTATTATTTATATTTGCACTTGCCATCCTGGGTAGGTGATACCTCAAGTCATCTTGCCCAGGAGGAAAATGGATGATTTATCCAAGTAAATAGTGTATCAGCAACTGCCTGTGTTGATTTCCCTTATGGGGTTTCAGTTCCATTACACTGCATATTTCCCACCCACACTCTTTATACGGCATTTCATGTTGAGGGAAATCATTCCCATCTCTTTAGCTTCAGAGGACAGATACGTGGAACCATCCGGAGGGAGGGCAGCGTCACTTGCATGCAGAGGGAGGTAACATACATGAGAAAGTGCTGTCTGGAAGGCAGCGTGATCTTTAACTCCTTCTCCTTTCACTGCTGGACAGATGGGAGAAAGGAATAGAAGCAGGCACAGGTGGGGAGGGACAGGAAAAAATGCTTTTATGGACACATGAGCTCAGGTTGTATGCTTTTGAAAGTGCAAGACATGGAAAAAAAAATATTTTAAAATATACTGTGATGTAAGGCATTAGGAAATCTTACACGTTGTCCAGGTCCAAATTCTGGCATGGCAGATCCTGCTCGGCTGTGTCTGCAGTCATGGCCACAGGAGGAAATAGCAGAGTCAGAGCTCGTGGAGGTCAGGATAGGGAAGCAGCAAAGAGCAAGGCTTTGGTTTCTCTCTGCTAGGCATGGGCTTAAGCTTCCAGATTTTAAACACCACCGATTTCTGTTGTACTTTCGCTGCCAAGTTATCTCATGTAAGTTTATGGGACTCTGTCTCTATGCTTGTCTGTCATGACCATACACAACTTTTGAGCATGCTGACCATTTTCAGACAAGTCTGAAAGAAAAGATAATTCATTTTCTATAAAATGGGGGTCTAAAGAGAAGAGAGAAAAACTCAAACTAGTGCCACTGCTGGGCAAAAACAAGCAGAACTTATCATTTAACCAAGCTTAGTGGAGGACAGCTGGCTGGCCAGCACATGCTTTGCTCCAGAGCAACCACTAGCACTCTGTCTTTTGCTCACTGAGAATTTTATCTTTCTTGTAGGAGGGGAGACCTACAATAATTGTACTCAGTACTTGTGTAGAGCTTGCAGGCTCTGATCACCAATCTGCAGGAAGATGGGCTTTGTTAGTATTACTTTCATGTCTGAGCCATTTTTCTTAAAGTCCATGCCCTCTTTCTTGCAGGTAGTCAAGGTACATCTCTGGCTGGACAGCATTTTCCCATTTCTCTCTGCTGTGGGGTTACAACACCTATTCCTTGCTTTTCTCTGTTTGGATTCACGGTATTATTTCACGCTACATCTCACTACTCCTCAAGCCTCGATATCACAGCCACCATAATTGAGAAATAGTATTGGGCTCTGCCTAAGTTGCTCTTTAATTGGCCAGATGGATCGCTAATGCCTTTGCTGAGGCACTGTCCTCTATCATTAGCTGTTGGAGATACCTCCTAATATTCCAAGGCCCTGTACAACACCCTCATTTGTTTTTAAACAGGGAAATCAGAACCTTTGTAATTATATAGAGCCTCCTGATAAACATCAGATAAAAGCATTTATTTTTTTCTGATTTCAAAATATAAAAGAGCTAAGTCCTGGGAACACTGAGATTTTGTATGTTCTGTGAGTTTTTGAGGAAAGATAAAAAGAAAAGAAATCATGGTTTTCATTTTATATTTTAGGACCTGAATTCCCAGCTTTATATTAAAGGGAAACAGGTTAAAATCGGAGAATTTGGGATCTACATATTTTCTCGTCTTTATTTTTTTGTCAAGGCATCGAGGCAGATGGTATGAAAAGCATTTATATTGGTCTCTCTGCTGATGGAGCTTAACCTAATAATCCAGGACTTGGAACTGGGTGCTTCGATAAAAACACTTTCTGAGAGATTTTTCCATTCAAAACACCAGCAGAAGTTTTTTAATTGACAACATCAGAAATTAGTATCCTGCCAGGACTACATTTCTTTGCACCTTATTACTCAGAACAAAAGATTAATATATACTCATTCCAAGCATGAGAGTTTTCAATATTTTTTTTCCTAAATTAAACCAAAGACAAAGTGAAATGGTTTACCACAGGATTGTGAGAGTGAAAATGGGGAAAGTCCCAGTTCCGTGTCAGTTATTACTTTGTCCTAGTTTAAGCACTTGACTCTTTCTTCTGGTGATTGCTCCATTTTCTTGTTTTTTATAGCGTGCTAGATACTTTGAAATTTGCAGACTTAGCTCAGTCTTTGAAATGAAGTAATCCTAGCTCTGAAAATGCCAAATTAAACTGTGATTCAGAATTCCCCTTAATTGTTAGCAACTTCGTATACAGAAAAAGCTGCGCTCTACTGGGGTTTTCCTTCATTCAGCTTTAGTCTGAACTTCATTTCCTATCTTCTTCCTGTTGTCATGGGGCAAACTGAAAGACCAAAACTGGTGCATAAGAAAATAATATGGCTCTCATCTAAACTTTGGAGCAAAGGTCTGTGTGGACCCCTCCCACTTCTTGGATTTCCTTATGTGTATGCTCTTGAGAAATTGCATTTAAAATATATACAGGAAATTAAGCCTAACTGAGAAGATTATACCTTGTAAATATTTTCTTCTGTATATTTTGATAGAACAGCATGGGCGTGGAGGGCAGGGGTGTGGATTTTATAAATGTTTTTATGCTTTCATAATGCAGCCCATAATCCATTTTAGACCGTTCTTCTTAAACAAAGACATTCAGATTTGCTATAGAGGTTAGCAAATAATGAAACAGTACCACTGAATTGCGATGTTAACACCCCAAAGCAGCCAATCCAAGTGGGATAGCATGCACCCTGTTTTCTTGGGTCAATTTCTGATTTTTTTTTCTGCTTCTGTACAGCAGTTTTAAAGGTTACTTCTTGTGTCCTTTACAGTTGTCATTTTCCATACTGCAAGGAAGAGTGCACTGTGGAAAGGATCTGTTGTGGAAACATCAGGTGCAAAGACACAGCTTACCTATCGTCTGTGACATATTGTCTTATAAAGTCAAACAGGAATCTCTATCTCTTGCAGTCGGGTATTAGAGATTAGGCAATGAGTCCAAACCAACAAGGAGCCAGAGGGCAGATTGCACATCTGACTGTGAAAGTCATCATCAGGCCAAGTACTCAATCAGGCCAGTTGGAAAAGCATCTTGTTTCTCAGAGGTAGGGCTGGATTTATGTTCTGCCCAGCACACTCATTTAGAGAGAGAGGATTAGATAGCCCATAATATCACTGCTAAGACTCTTGAACACAAAGGGGTTACCAGTGCTTCATGCTGCGCTCACTCTCCCAGGGTGGCAAGTGTGTGGATGAGGTAGGGACGTGGATACAGTCTCCAGTACCCCTAGACCAGCTGAATTATTCCAGCAAATGGCCTGGATCTCAGTAGAACACGTTCTCCACTGACTCCCAGAGGTTTGTGTTCTGGCGGTCACCAAATCAGAGGAATTATGCCTCCTGTGATCTCTTTCTCAAACAATGCTCCTACGTCCCTCTCCCTCATGATTTAACAGCTGCCTTGCAGTTGCGGTTCTTACAGCTACCTTTATTAGATCTCCAACTAGCCCTATAGGCCTCTTTCATCTTCCTTTCCCAGGGCCCTGGACAGATTCCTACCAACTTACCGTTGCTTTGTATCTGCCCTCGGATCGCTGGTGCTGCTGTTCTGACAGCCTACCCAAATCCTTCTTTGCTCAGAGGAAATAATAACTCTCATTCAGTTGCTTTCTTAGCATTTATTGTGACATCCAAAGACAAATGCAAACTCATCTCTAGAATCATTATTCTCTTTGAAGAACAACGGATTGTCAGGGGAGGCATTTTTTTGTGTGGATTCACTTAGAAGTTCTGTCCCCCAGTGTGGTTCTCCAGCTGCCCCTGTCATATCCTCAGTTGTTGTTTATCCAACTTTTAATAATTTCCTTTTCATGCTAGAAAGGCCCACATAATTTTCTCTGTGTGTGCATGTATTTGTATTTACTTCATGTTTTTTTATTTCTTTAAATTCATAACATACAAAATATATAGAAAAAGACATCCATTGCACTAGATACATGCATTATGCATGCATAAATTTTATATATATATTGGCCTGAATTTCATAAAATGTCTAGGGATTTTGTGTGCCTACGTTTTCAGTGCACTGTTGCAGTCTTTAAGGTATCTCTTAATCACCTCACATCATGACTAATTCTTGGAAGAAACGTACTGGTATGTGAATAGCTAGGCTATGCCCTACTTCTATGTAGAGACGAGTGGAGGGAATACTTCTTTGTGCTACTGAAAGAGATGAAGACTGTGGATATTGCTTCACTTCATCAAAAGAAATAATATCACTTATGTTACCAGCAGCGTTGCTCTCTGCACCTGGGCATCGGCTATTTATATTTTTTTTGGATCACCAAAGGTACTTAGAGGTTCCTGTTTAATACTGCGGTGGCTTTGATTAGTGGACTCTGATTTTGACTAATCTCCATTTCATCTGAAAATGGGAAATCAAGCCTGGCCTGAAACCAGCCCAAGGTGGCATGAAAATCCCTAGCTTAATTTGCTCTATTAACATAAGCTTTCACCTAAAAGTGTTAAGATGAGATCAGCACGAGGCTTGCCATTACAGCAGTGTGCACAAATATGAGGGTGGAAAATTGCTCAGAGAAACTGTCATTCAAGTTCTCAGGGTAATGTAGGAATGTTGTTTATTCTCCTCTGAATAACAACTGCACCCTTACCTGTAGCAAAAGAAATTGAAAGAAGCAGCAGGGAGAATATCCTTCCAGCCATGACTTTGGGTTTGACAGTCTCCAGTGATATTAACGTTTATGTGTTGGCTAGCTTTCTAAAGGAAGGCCATCACCTTTTTTTTTTGCAACATTACTGGTTAGAGTAGAGGGAAGAGGAAGAAGGGGACGAAAATCATGAGGGGATGTTAGAAAGTGCAGCGTTCGTCTTACAGGAGTGAGTAGGATTTTCATTGAGATCTTTTTTTTCAGTTCTGTGTCCTTTTAAAGAAAATGAATATCAACTTGCAGAATGCAGTTTGAGAGAGAAACTGGAGGGTTACGTTGTCAGATACCAACCTGAAACACGTAAGCCCTGGGCTCTTACCCTTGCTTTGCCACAGCTCTCCCGGCTTACCCTGGGGAAGCCAGTTTGGGCATAACAGCTCTTTCTGCCTCCCAGGGAGGCTGGGCGAAGAGGCATTGTAGCTCAAGTGAAGCTGTGACATAATGGTGACAGTGGCCTTCCAAGAGGTTGATAGAGATACCAAGGTTTGATAAGATGAATGGGATTAATCAAACTGAAGGTACAAAGCAGGGATCTGTGCTGGGAAATGCTTCCTTTTGTAAGGATCTGTGCCACTTGTGTACCTGGCTGCAAGCTGCTCATAGCTTTTCCTTCTGCATTTCTTTCAAAATTTACACAGTGAAAGTATTGGAGGTTTTCTGTCCTGCATTAAAACAAGGGAAATCTATATATTCTATTTCTAAAATAAGAATGTTACAGGCATGAAGGACATCCATCCTATGTTACATAAATGTAGGTACTTTTTGCTTCCTTTTCTTCCTTTTCCCTTGTTTATGCCATACAAGGAAATTATTAAAGCAAATACTATTATGGGCGTTTTATCTCTAATCTGCACAAAATTTTAAAACCTTTTCTCACTTCCCAGCATATATAACTACTACTTTAAAGGCAAAGAGGAGTTCTGTGGCTGGGAGCTGAGGAATATGAAAGGTTTAGTAGCCTTCCTGTGAGAGGAATATGATAATGTTCACTGACAGAGGAACTACGAGGAACAATTATCCCAAGCTGTGTCTTTCAGACAATGCTGTCAGATTTTCCACTTCCATGAGCACAGCTGGGCATGTGGTGCCAGGGTGAGAAATTCCACAGTGGCTGGAAGCGGAGTGTGCTGGGTGCAGGGCTGGCCTTCGGTGATGGAGGTCAGGAGCAGAAACTGGAGAGGAAAGGAGGATGACTTTCTCCAGCTTTGAGACTGTAATTTGGAAAAAAAAAAAAAAAAGTTTGGTAGTGTAAGGAAGGAATCTTTCAAAGATGTTCCTTCCCAGACTGCTGCTCCTACGAGTTTTGTCTCTGGGTTCAGGTTCTTAACATATCTGTACTGCCTTTACAAGATATATCCCACCTACTTCCAGCTGTCTTTGGTCTTGGGCAAATTTGTATCTTACATATAAGTCTGCTGAAATGTTTGGGGTTTTGTTGTTTGTTTATCGTTTGGTTTCTTCCGTGCAATTGGTACTTTACATGTTTTTGTTTGTTTTGTTAATTTTGTTTTATTTTTAGTTTGTTTGCTTTTTAATTATGTAACATGCCCAAGGTTAGCTAATTGAATGTGGGAGCTCTGCAGGATGAGGAAGTGATCCAGGTCAAACTCCAGTTCAAACCTGAGATCTGTTTGGATGCAGAGTTTCAGTCCCACCTGGTTTACTTGGCTCAGCCAGCAATTTTGACTCCATTTCTGACTTTTGTATATGTATAGCAGTGTGTGCGTTAGGTAAGCTTCAAGCTGATAAGTTTGGTTTCCTACGGGGAAACAAAGAGGTGAAGAGATTCCAAACAAGCAACAGTGGAGGTGGTTAACTTGGGATCTGCAAGTGCTTCAAGTGCTATAGATTGCTTCTCATATACACATCACGTTTTGCTTTATGTGGTGTTTGAAGTATTAAATGGTACAGCCGTATGTTACATCTCCTGATTTGATCAGTGCGTGCTGCTCTCAGTAACTTTTCAGGATTCTAGCTTTTTAAGAATGTTTTGCTAAATGCTTGAGTTAGATAATCTTTGGGACTCCTCTTAGATTACCATCTTAAATTATCATATAGATTGCTTGTTACATCAGATTACCTTGACTTTTGCCTACTGCTTTGCCTTCGTGCTTGCAAGGAATGGTCTCTTTTCTCATTCTTTGTGTGAGTTGTTTCATAGAGATGTTCCCTGGCCTACCTTTTTAATGTTTTCTAATTTCTCCGTTGAAAACTTGGGAATTCTGGATAATTCCCTAGTCAGTCAGACAGCTCAAATAATGGACCCCCAAATGTAGGCTGTTAATTATTTTTCAGTGCAATGGCAATGTAATGTGTGACAATGGAGCTTTTTGGTAACAAGCAAAATCATTTTGGACATGCTGAAGACTAGAGTGATTAGCACTTAAATAACACCACGCTTCTGAGGATATCAAAACACTTCATAGCATTTAATGAAGGAGGCCTTCCCTCTGTACCCAAAGGATATACTTCACTACTACTAGCTGTCTTCATAGGGAAGAGAGAAAACTGGTTCAGGGAGAGGTGAGGGACTAGGCAAAATTATAATTAGCAGCTGTGTCGTCTGATCAGGGTCTCAAACTCAGACCAAAAGGCGCTGTGTTTTGGTCCTTTGCATGCACCCTACAGGGGCCCGTTGTCAGCAGAGAAGTCCCGTGGGAACTACAGCATTGCTGAGGCTCTCCACAACCAGACAAAAAGGTTGCTCCATGGGGAGAAGAGCCTGCCAGCAGCTGGTGAGGTGATGAAAGAGAGAAAGGAGAACAAGAATGCCAATAGACTAAATCATTCCGATTCTATAAGGAGGAAATTCTTCACTGTGAGGGTGGTGAGGCCCTGGCACAGGCTGCCCAGAGAAGCTGTGGATGCCCCATCCCTGGAGGTGCTCAAGGCCAGGCTGGATGGGGCTTTGGGCAGCCTGGGCTGGTGGGAGGTGTCCCTGCCCATGGCAGGGGGGTTGGAACTGGATGGGCTTTAAGGTCCATTCCAACCCAAACCATTCTGTGCTTCTAAAAAAAAATGGATAGCTGATTATGGAGGGAGAGCGTGGATGAGTGCTAGAAATGAGTGAAAAAGCAGGCGAAAGTAAAGGACTGTGTGGATGAGAGGGTGAACTACTGAATACGTGAGCCCAAATCATCTTGGGCAAAGGAGAGAAAGATGTGGAATACTAGCATATATTTGCTTTCAGCTACTGGAACATAGAAACTCATTTTGTTTCCCATGTAAAGAGCACTGTCAAGCCGAGCATCTAGTAATTAATGCTCAGCTTTGAAAAATAAAGCTGTCTGCATGTATTTTGCAACACCTTTGAACTGGACACATGTAATAAATATCACCATGAGATGTCCTAACAGGATTATTTTAGGATAATGGTCAATTTGAAATTTTTAGCCTTTATGTGGCAGGGGATGAGGCCATTAGCTCATGGTTGCTCTGGCTAATCTTTCTAGCAATGTGGTGGTTTGTTTTGTTTGTTTGTTTTTTACTTTGCCTTCAGCGCTATCTTTAAATCACTGTACTAGGGATTTGTTTTTAGGAGAGAACTTCCTAGGCATAGAAGTACGGGACTAAATTTGCTCTCTGGACATTAACATAACTCCTTCAAGTGCACCATCTCTGGAAGTGCTCAAGGGCAGGTTGGATGGGGCTTTGGGCAACCTGGTCTAGTGGGAAGCGTCCCTGCCCATGGTAGGGGAGTTGGAACTGGATGAGCTTTAAGGTCTTTTCCAACCCAGACCATTCTCTGATTCTGTGACAAAGAGGACATGGAGAGATATACCTGTGTATGAGTCTCGGGATTGACTTTGCTGTACTAGACAAGTTACCTTTTAAATTCTGCTTTTAAGAATCGTCTGTGAGGCAGGTATCTTCAGCCATACATGTGTGTGACATTTAAAAATTATATTATTTGGAAAATACCATCACTGGTACAATTTATTTATTCACTTCGTAAACATACCTACTGTTGAGAAGGGTCTGTGTGATGATTAATGAGACAATTATACACATTAATATCAGAGTAATCAGACCTCGTACTTTTAAAATAGCAACAAAAGATACAAATAAATTTTTGAAAAACATTGTGCTGTCTGTAGTTGTCACTAGTTGGTTTAGCTGAGATGTATGTAATGATAGCTGGACTTCATAGTACTGAAGCACTGTCTCTTAAGACATATCTTGCACGTGACAAATTAAGAAAATGAAACACCAACGATTTGAAAGACTTACCGAAGCCATAAAGCAAATGCTGACACTCAGGCAAGGCCACCAGTTCTGAATAGGTACAACATGAAAAGTCCGTAACTGAAAAAAAAAAATATATATATATATCTCCTGATGATGTTATGGTGAAAAATTAACATTTTATCAGAGAATCAGAGGTTATCAGGGAATTCCAATGATTTTATAATAAACTGGTTATCACCAAACGAATACATATTCAAGTCCCACTGCTCTAGTCAGCCAGCAAGAATATCTCTGAAAGCTCATGTATTTATTAGGTAAAACACATTTTCAGGCAGAACAGCAAGGTGTTTCTTTAATTCTTCCTGTCATAGGAAGGTGGTCCTTGGCCTAATTTCACATTGTCTCTGCACTACCCAGCTGATTAACCTTGAACATCTCATTTAAATTTGAATATTGGGCTGCACCACCATTTTCAAAGATGGCTTTAGTGCATGTCCATTGCTTCTTAATGGCTTCTGAGAGGCCTTTTGGTTGTACATTTTGTTATTTGTACATATTATTTTCACTCTTATTACAGTTCTCTTTTCAAGCAGTAGACAGAGCTGACTCACTGCTGCTGACTCCATGACCTGCTTCCCATTTCATCCTCTACCTGCTTAAAAAGTTTAGTAGTTGGTGGTTTAATCTCCTGGGACTAATGTCTGAGCAGTGGACCATTAAAAAGCAAAACAAAAGGTAAAAATCCTTTTGGCTTGCGTGGCAGGAGCTCTGAGGGTGCAAGTAAACACCCACTTTGCTGATCATTGAACCTAGGGAACTGAAGAAAGAGAAGGAATGTCTTTCTAAGCAAAAAGACCTACTGGCAACTTGAAAACCACCTCTTCCTTGCTGTATTAGCAGATAGGCACAGAAGTGAAAAATAGCTTTGTTTGTTCTTCATGTAAAATACATTGAAATATCAGGAAGATACCAAGTAGCTTAGTGAGGAGTGAGCAGTGCAGGCATATCTATATATCTAATATATATATATATTTGGTTTTATCATTGACTCACACGTGTGACTTTGATCATTTAATCTCTCTGTCTCAGTTTTCCCCGGTATTTAGTGAAGGCTGCAAAAATGCATACTGCAGTTTTTGATGTTGCAGTTGATTTCCGTAGATTCCAAGAGATGCAACAGTGCTTTAGGTACTGTGCGCCCATTCTGGAAATGCAGCATATGCTTCAACAACTTCCAGTTTAACTAAACTGTGACTGGTAGAAACTTCATTATGTTAACTTTCCCCATCAAAACCGAATCTCTGTTTTAAGCCTCTGTGAACTCTGTGAAGTAGCAGCACATTTCTGGATATCCGAAAAGGCTCAGATATACTTGAATGAATTTATTAATGAAGTATTCCCTCACAGCAAACAGTAAAAAAATAAAAAAATAAACTCCCGTAATTAAACGGTGAAGAAGTAATACTTCTCACCTTCCCTTTAGAGAAAGTGAAAATAAGCACTGTACAATGCTAGATAGTTTTCTCTAAAATTAAAGTTTTATTGCTGTTGAATCCTTGCAAGTCTTATATTAACAAAACCATATGTTTTATTTTCTTAAATGTTAATATAGTTTTTTGTTTGCATTTAAATGTTCTCCTGGAGTGTTTATACCACTTCGAAGAAAGAGTATCGTTCACACATGAAAATCTGTAAATGAAACCAACTTGAAATAGAAGTAAAGCTAGCACATCTGTTTTAATATCTCAGAAAGTAAACCAGCTGTGTGTATATAATATATACACGCTAGTAGTAGATGTTAAATTAGATTTTAAGAATTTGTTTCAGCTTAATAGCCTAAAATGTTATTAGTAACATAGATAAGGAAATTACTTAATAAAAAATATATGATTTTTAACCTGACAGTGTCCCTCTTAATTAAGTTATGAGATCCTTAGATGAATGATGTTATAAAAGTGCAGTGTGTAGCTTCTATTATTTATAACAGAATGCCAAAGAGCTAGCTCAAACCGATTAAAGCAAGGAAAATCTCATTGAAACTTGCCATTCTGACTAAGTGAATGGTGAATATTTCTAGAGAATTCATACAGCTTTAGCATCTCAAATATAGCAACCATCTAGCACCTTTTGATGCAAGAATTAAACATGTTGGGAAAATAATGATGATACTATTAAATTAATAAAAAGTATGGTCTTGGCAGATTCTGGGATGTGAGCAAAAATACAAGTATTTAAATTGTGATGAAATTTAAATTAGAAGTCTGGATATCCTCACCTGTCTTACAATGTCAGCTTTGCACTGATTTTTTTATTACTATTTTTAATACAAACTTTAAATATTCCTATTAGGCAGGTAACTTATCTCCCCTACTACAGACCAGTATGGGGCTTGTTTCTTCCTGCCCTAAGCTGGTTGTCCACCCTTCAGCACACTGAGCGTTGTAGACCTTCAAGCCTTTAATCCACGTCTCCTAATAATGACAGCAAAAATTTGGAGTTTCAGCACTTCATGTTTGACTCTGTTGCAGGGTTGAGGAGGGTTGGTGTGTGATCCACAGCAGGGCTGTGCTGGCACAGGGCACTGCTGAATCATTTCCGTCCTTCATGGTGGGGGAGAAGTGATTTGGCAGGGACCACGGAGGTCAAGACTAGCAACTCACCCAGGATCCCAGCTGCAAGCTCCATTTTTTCTGCCCAGTTGTGCAGTAAAACAGCAGGACCCTTAAGAGAGTTTGTGATCTCCAACCTCTCAGCTGCCTTTGGAAATCCCCTACCTCATCGCTTTCTTTATCTGTAATAAGTGTCTTTTAGCTCTATAGAGATCAGGTGTGGCACACAGCTTTAAGGACAGGAAGGATCTTGACGTAAGAGAATTAAGAGGGTAAATATTCATTTTGTTGGTGTTTAACTTATCATTAGTGAACTTTTACCTCTGCTCACTTATTGTAGCAATTAGGTACCTTGGAAATTAAATTATCTACAATTTAAGCAAATAAGAAAGCTGAAATCTAAGCTATGTTGAAGTCAATGTGGTAGTGTTTTTTTGTTGTTTGTTTTTTCCTTCTTTCTGGTGCCATGATTTCATCCTAAATATCTAAGTCATTGAGGTAGGGTTGATTAGTATATCTTACTTTCTCTTACCAGTGCTTACCACTCTCTTGAGGGCTATAAAAATAACTTATTATATGGAATTTAAATCAAAATATATGCTGTACAAGCAGATTTTAGAGAACTTGTATTTGAAATGTTTCTTTTCCTAGTCTGCTTTCAGAAAACTCCTAAGCAGCACAAATAATGAAGCACTTCATTTTAAAGGCTTGATTCTAGGAATATGGCTGAAGGACTCAAAAGACAGAATTTCTAAGCACATGTTCAAGGAAATACATGCTACATCTTAACATGATTATCATTTTAAGCCAGTTTCCTATAGTAGTTCAAGCTCTAACCCGTAGAACTGATAGAATATAATCAAGTCTTATGATGATCATGCTTGGCATGGAAAATGAATGTATGCAAGGCTTCAGCTTAGATTAACCATGCGCCACAGATGCATTCATGAGCCCGTTTCCTGTTTTGCTTTATAAGCACCCCCAATCCAATCCTTTAGAGACATTTTTATCTGCTAATAAGCATAATTACAGTCATTCCTGCTGTCATTTATAAAATTATAAGACATTTATTTAGTCAGTTGTGGTGTTGAAGGCTGCTAAGTTTCCCTGACCAGGGAAGTTCTGCCGAATTCCTTGAGAAGTCACTGGCAAACCTGGTCTGGCAGCCCTCTCTCTGCTAGATCATTAGGCTGTGATGAACCACTGACTGCACAGAGATTTCCACAAGATAGGCAAGAATTTCAGGTTCTCACCTCTGTCCGCTTTGTGCCATTTATTATTGCATAGAGAGGATCTAATTTTCTGAATCTGAAGGGTGTGAATCTAGACCAGCTGCCCTGACACCTGAGGGGTTCGGCGGTGTGCATTTCTGCAGGCCCAAGGCCTTTAAAACCAGTGGGGAGGAGGGTGTAAATTTGGCTGTATGCTGAGAGTTTTCAGGGGCACTGCAGAGGAGGGGAAATGCTCTGACCCAACTCCACTTTAAATGGCATATCTTGAGTGACTTCAAGGTAAGGAGGCTGTCCTGTAGGCCTTCTGCTGCTCAACACAGCTCGTGGTGCTACGCCTAACTTCAGCCATCATTTCCCCAGTTGAGAAGCTCCTTTGGCATGCTTTTAAAATGCAAGTAATCCACACGATTTAGAAATCTAATGTTATTTTCCAGGACAACAATGTTTCCTTTGGACACTCATGACAGCAAATAGAATGTGTCACTTATATTTATAACCCCTTCATCTTTCTGTAGGTATCCAAATGCTTGCCTCAGATAGTGAACAGATTTTACTCTTAGTAGCTACACAGACAATAAATTGCAGTTGTCTTCTTAGGCGTTGGACATCGGCAAGTCAGTGATATGAATATCTAACCGATCACTTCTTGTGTGAAGGAAACTTAGGCCTCATGTGTTTAAAGTCACACACACACAGTCACACACAGAATTGTAGAGGTTGAAAGGGACCTCAAGAGATCATCGGGTCCAACCCCCCTGCCAAAGCAGGTTCCCTACAGCAGGTTGCCCAGGTAGGCATCCAGACAGGCCTTGAATATCTCCAGAGAAGGAGACTCCATAACCCCCCTGGGCAGCCTGTTCCAGTGCTCTGTCATTCCTACCGTGAAGAAGTTCTTTTTCCTGTAGTCCTGCTTACTACTCAATATACTACCACAAAGTCCACAAGAAGCAGGGTGGTCAGATGACAGGTCACCTGAACAAATCAAGAGTCTGGACTTTGATTATGTACACTGATGTTATATACAAAGCATCTGATACGCTTCCGTGGGCCCCACACCCTGTAACAAGAGTTTGGCATATCTTTTTAAATCAGTAGGAGTTTTGTCATTGACTTGAATTTAAATTGTGAAAAGGCTCTTGTTTTGAGGAAAGATATCTAAAAGTTCCAGAATAAGCACATCTGTTAGCCAGACGTCACTTCAAAAACCTAACTCTAGTAGAAAGTTTTAAAGGCTTTGTGGAAAATAATGGACCGCTCTGGGGAACTGCGGAATATTCAGATTAATCATCTAGACAGAAGTTTGTGAGTCTAGGGACTGTTCAGTATAGAAATGCTGAAGTCACTAGCAAAATGTTATGGTAGGTCACTCAGTTCTACTAAAAAGGAATATCGTCCTTTTAACTTGTGAAATCCTGCTGTCTATCTAAAGGTGGGTCAGAGTAGAATAGTTCAGAGACAGCACTGATAAAAACTGTGACTGTTACTAATTTCACCCTCACTGATATTTGTTCCATACAACTGCTGTTTCCTCTTCCTAATTCACATTATAGTTGAGGATTTTTTTTTTGTTTATCCACATGAATAGACAAGCTCATGAAATGGTCTCAAGCAGCAAACGGCTTTGGAAGCCAGACAAAGTGAACTAATCTCCAGTTTATAAACGTATTGCGATGCTGAAAGAGCAAATGCTTCAGCAAGCAACTTTAAAGAGGAGTTGGGGTGTGGAGTTTCTGAAGGAAAGAAGTTGGAGGTGACAGAGTACAATAAGGCCAGAGTACAATGACAGCCTGACTAGAGAAATTTGATTATATAAAGAGGGATAATAGATGAATCAACTAGAAAAACAGACACCAGAGAGAGCAGACAGAATACAAGAAAAGAAGCATTTGACCATAGGAAAATAAAATGAAGAGAACTTAGCAGTTTCCTACTAGCTAGCCTTTGAAACTGAATGGAGTATGTGAGATTTTTAAAATATCGTTTGTTTCTTAGACTGCTGGAGAAAGGACACTGCAAGGGACGAAGTGACTCTGCTATCACACAGCTCAAACTGCTTCAAAGGTCTGCCCAGTGTGGTAAGTGGCGCAAAGCACTTTGTGATCTCTGGATGAAAGTCTCGATAGTAAGTCCAAAATTTTTTTTCAAAGGGCAAGTCCAGCAGTCCTTAGCCCCAGTTCAGGCAAAACTGCCATTGTTTCATACATGAGCGTCTGGAAAACAGAGGATACAGGGGCATTGAGCCAACTGTTCTTTTTTTTTTTTTTCTCTCTCTCTTTTTTGACTTTATTGTAGAAAAGGCTGAAAGACTTTTCAGGGTGGAGGACATTGTGAGAAAGGGAGGGGGCCACCCGCTGGTAATGCGAGGCTGAGCGTGTTCTCCACCACTCTGTCCACCTGCCCTCAATTTGCCTTATATTTTGCATCATTCAGTTGAGGCCAATCTTTCAGCCAGATAAAAAGGACTTTGCAGAAAGTTATGGGCAAACAGTCTGAATGGAAACTGTTCTGCAAACTTAATTACAGTGTTTGCTGTTAAATGCAAACTAGTAACAGCACACTGGGATTAGCTGAGTGTTCAGCAGAGAGAGTCCAGGTACAAATGCTTTAGTTATATGGATCTGAATTTGAATTAGACACCTTTCAGCATCTTAAAAGAAACTGTCTCACCTGTGGTTCAGGTTGTATCCCTCCTTTTTTTCTTTTCTCTCTCTCTCTCTTTTTTTTTTTTTTTTTTTCCCCTTCATTACATGTGTGTACAATAAAATCACAGTCAAAGCAAAGCAAACAGCTATGTTTGGTTCTCCTTAGGGCTATATTGAAATCAGTGAAGCATCTTCATGATCTATTGTTCTTAAAAATGTACACGCTGAGTCACTCCCTCAGCATCATCTTCTTGCAGTTCAGGGTAGGATTTCACCTCAGGTTTCAGTGATTGTTTTGGAGTCTGGGGAGCGATTGTGGATGCGTTCCTTTTGCTTGGGAGTAAGATTTCCTGCTACCATTAACCTTTGCAATCGCTGACTAGTAACAAAGAGACTTATTTGGGTGCCACTCTTTTCAGGTGTTGAAGTTACTGCTAGTTTGAAAGGACTGAGCAGAATGCTGAGTGCGTTGCAGAGAGAGGCTTCACACTGTGCTGCACAGGCAGGCTTAGCTTGGGCAAACTCTCCCTGGAGTCAGTTGAGGTTTTCCCTAAGTGAGAAATGAGTTAAAAAACTGAGGCAAGATTCTGATCTTTTACCCAGGCACAACTCCAGCAACTTTGGAAGAGTTACTTTTGACTTACAGCATTGTAACATGGATCAGAGTCTGGACTACAATAAGGACTTCAGCATTTGGCCCCACTTCTGTGTAGGCTTTTATTAATTTATATATTCTTTAAAAAATGGACAATTACATTGACTTTAATAACCCTTACCTCAAAGTTCACTTTAAAGAAAACTAATAAGGCTTTTTATTTAAAGGAAAAAAAAAAAAAAAAAACTAAAAATAAAAGTTTAGCTATGGTCAGCCAGGGTGGGAAATTCCATTGTGGCTGCAAGCCCATGGCAGGTAGAGTGGAATTTAATGAAGGAAACTGCTGTGTTTTTGTGTCTTTCTGTATGTTTTTCCTTTAAAACCAAGAGCTGGGCAGGCTTCCCATTTGACCTGATGTGACCCAAGCAAATTGCTTCTTATATAAAAACAACTGCAGACTTGGAGAATGTGAAAATGCACTGTATCCTTTTTCCAACTCAGGGAAAATGAAAGCCTGAGAAACAGGACGGCCCTGTCAATACTCGTTGAGCAAAACTATCACTCAAACCCGATAAAGAGAGATTAGAACAGGCTTCCTTATGCCAGAGGGATTCATTATAAGTTAGATCTCTTTATGTGTTGTGTGGTTTTTGTTGTGTGTTTTTTCTTTTTTTTTAAACAGACACACTTACCGTCAGTAAGGGAAAAATCCATTTTTCAAATAATGTTTTTTCTCTGTGTGAAGGGAGCAGGAAAGGAGCACTTGTAAAGGAGGACAGAGAAGGAAAGAGGGGAAAAAAGGGTTTTAACTAACACATCCGAACTAAAGAAAGAAATTGATAATGGTTAAGATGTAGGCAAAAAGCCCAGCTTTTAGCTTTTGCTGTAACTTGGGAGAGCACAGGCGCAGGGATTCAGGGTGTGTCTGCTGATATTGTATTCAGATGTGTTGCCTTGGCATGTGTACTGACGGATTTATTTAAAAAACAAAGCAAAAAAAAAAGCATTGTGTGCTCGTGAAATGACTTCATAAAATCCTTCCCTTTATGAATTATTTTGATCACAGGGCTTGTTGTTTAAATTTCTAAAGTACGGCGCTTTTTTTTTTTAATTGCCTTCTTTTCAGAACTGTCTGTTCTCAAGTTGGCACCTTTCGCATAACAGCATGCGGAGATTAAAGGAGAGGAGAGGGAGGGGAGCTGGGGGGGGGCTCTCATCAGACCAAGGGGGTGACACAGCGCATAAATCAAACGAACGTCTTCTGAGGGTCACTGCTGAAATGAGCCTTGAGCTCTCAGCCCCTCATCTGCTGCATGGGCAGGTACAATCTTCAGTGGAGAGAAGAGCAAATACTCAAAATGTCGCGTGCTGCCATGTTGCAGAAGGCAGAATAGGCTCCTGGTTGCTCTGTGTTGCTTAAAATGGAGGTGAAGGGCTTCTCACCCAGGGAACAAAGATGCTGTGAACCAAGCCTGGTCCAGTGGGGCCTGCCTTTCTGAAAAATGGATTTTGCTTGTGCTCAGTGAGCCTTCTGCCTGGTGGTTGGGGTCTTTTCATGCTTGTGAATATACTCTGTAAGCACTGCAGGATTGCATGCTAAAGGGGCAGATGTTCAGAAGGAGGCTATTTGGACGGTTTTGCTCTAAATATTGTGTTAAGGACCTGCAAAGTCAAGATCCACCACCGTCATCATACAAATCCTGTATTTATCCAAAAGTTGCAACAGTATTTTCAGCCTTGGCATGAAAGTCAGAAGGTTTTCCTGGATTAAGGCTCCGTACTAGGGATCAGGAGAGTTGGTAGTCACTCGCTGTTTCTTCTTTTTGTTTGCTGGGGAACATTCACAAGCTCTCTAGTATTTTGTTGCTGTTATTTGGTAGGGTCTGAAGTACGATGGTGCTTGGGACTACCCTCCAAGACTATTCCTGCTTGTGTAAAGGAGGAAGTTAGGGTAGCCCTTACCTGAAAAGTAGTGTGAGCTTTTTATTCTAGCATTGTGTTCAAAGCATTAGGATTTATGTGGTAAGCTGTATTTTCTGTCAGGAATGCTTGTCTTTTCAGAAGGTCGCATGCAGAACCATGAGCCTGGTATTCATCTGAGGACAGGAATAATAGTTTTGTGTTATGTGTATTGATTTATTTGGTCCTCCTCTCATTGCATTGTCTGCTAGGCAGGGAGATCACAGCTGCACATATAAATGTGTGTAGTATCATGGCAAACAATGATTTAGGGTTCTAGATTATGATGCAGAAGATGCTGATTTCCATGTAAGCAAAGAAACCTTGTTTGGCTTGCTGGACATGATATTAGAGCAAAATACATTTTACTTTTTGCTGCATGGAATTTTTCTGTTAGTAGCAGAGCTTCCAGCTCCTGGCAGATTTGCTTTTAACTGTGTACAGGAAAGTTTCCAAAAAGAGACAAAGAGTGGAAACCCTATTATCTTATTCAAGAGAATTTGTCTCTCAGTTTAGAGACACTTTGTTCCCAGAAACTCTTTTCCATAGCCTAATATATCTTAATTCTCATATAGACGAATATGGCTGTACATAGATTTTTTTTGTTTGTTTGTTTACTTCAGGACCTTTCCTTGTACAGATTAGATACCTCTCTCATTTTCAAAACTGTACTTTGGGTTTCTGGAGATGAGTGCCATTCAACTAGCTTTCCTTGAAGGCAGGTCTTCTTGACCCTTAGTTAGGAGAGTCTATTATGTTTGACATGATGGACTTTGTGTAGAACTATGCTGATCTAAGTGTGCCTTTTTACTTCCTGTGCATAAACATTAGTACCACTTCACGTATCTTCTGTTCTGGGCTGGACACTGAAGCCATCTAATTTTCAGTGTATATTAATCCATTCATCCAGGAACAGCTGACTGTATAACGAGACTGAATTATTTTTTTTGTAAATATGATTTTCTGCTGCTTGTGCATAAGGTTATAGTAATCCACTCCAGTTTTAGGTTAGTCTTACTGTTTCTCGTGAGTGCTTAGAACAGCATCGAACAGCATCTATAATGACAGGTTGCTTTTTTTTTAATTTTAATTTTTATTTTTACAGGGCAAAGCACTTAGCACAGTGATGAGAGCAGTTTAAGTACGTAGATGTCTTTCTGAGAAGGGAAGTGCAGTGCTGTAAGGTGTCTGCATTTTTGGCAATGGACTTTTCAACTGTTTTGAATTCTGGTGAAAGGCCTAAGGAACCTCCTAAGCAGAGTTCAAAGGGCGTTTGGTGGCTCATGGAAAAAATCCTGTTGCATGTCAGTTCTCCCAGTCTGGGCAGAATGTCACAGGACATGTCATCATGCGTCATCTGTTATTCTAGTTAGATAAATTCTCAGCTGCTTTTTTTGCCCATACTCTTTTATTGATTTCAGAGGGAGTTTTGTCCAAGCTAAGAAGTGAATAATGTTTCAGGATTCAACATTGGATTTTTATGTTCCTGGTCTTGACCAAGTATGTGAGCAGATTGCTGAAAGTCAGGACAAAATGAAGATATTACTGCATGAAAAGCAGAGGAAGAAATTTCTCATTTAGAAATCCAAATTACGGTGTCAGCAGGAGTTGTTCAGTCTGTTTAGAATATTTCCAATTTGTCCTATCCACGCCCAGAGCTTCCTCTGGCTTCAGTGCCATTATTCTTACAGCTGCAGGAACTTTCCCAATAAACCTGCATCGAAGACCATTTAGCTACATGGGAATGCTTCCAGTAATGTCCGTGTGCCCTGCTCTGGGCTGCACATATATGTGCTTCTGAACTGAGTACTACTGGAGAGACTCTATTCTCCTGTTTGAAAGATAAGAAACAAATTAAATTCTCTGATCAATAGTTCAGTTTTGATGTCAAAAGTAGTGACAAAAGTGAAAGCTATTGATAGGAATTATAAAAATAATATGATGGGTACTGCAATTTGTAATACATAAAGGCTCAGAAAAGAAATTTATTTCTTACTGAATTTGAGAATGTCACTGATTTGGGGATATCTCGTTTCTACTGGGAACTGCATTTGTAAATATTGCAATATTTACACTACATACATATTTTACTTTATATACTTGTTATATTTTTAAGAACAGTGACAGTAATATAAAAACTGGTAATAGTATCTTGAATTTTTATAGGTTTCTTCACCTGAAAAATTTATAAAGGACCTTATAAACATAGTTCTTGCTCTTGTGAATACTTACCACTACTTACTAAATTTTAAGTGTGTGAGTAGTCCTGTAAAGCTAAAAATTCAGGGGAATAGCTAACCAGATGTAAGCTGAGTATGTGTATACATGTTTTTGTAATCAGAGTTTTGCATTTTTAAAGAAACTGCACAAAAGTCTTATCATTTACTTTAAAAAAAAATACTTTTGGAATAAGACGAGAACATTATTCACTAACTTATGACAGAAATGCATAAAACTTCACTGTTGATACTGCAAAATGGACTTGAAAGAGAAAATTATATTTACCCAACAATTTGGAATGTGGCAAGCACACTGCAGTTCTTTTTCTCTTTTCCTTGTCTCATGCGCAAAGACTTGCAGGATTTCAGTTCAGTCTACAGTGAAAATAAATAGGATACCTCACTCAAGAAGAACCTACGTCATTTGCTTAAGAATGCATATAAAGCATTTGACAGGGTTGAGTGGTATTTTATTTGGTTAAATTAGGGTTTGAGGTATGTGCAGTTTAAACTCCTTCCCTTTCTGAGAATGATAAAAGACAGGAATGCTATAATCGTCTGGTTATATGAGGCCAGAACAGGTGCAGGATATGGAAGAATGAATGCTCTTTCCCCTCACATCTGTTCTCTGATGAACTATTTAATTCTTCTTGCAGGAATCTGTTAAAAGCTTTTCTAAGGCTTCCCTGTAGGCAGGCAGTTCACTGCAGCACCCTACATGCAGCACCTTCTGAGGCATGGGAAGTAACATATGCACATGTCCTTTCCATTTCGCAATGTGGAATGAGAAAAACAGGAATGTATGCTTAGAAATCCTCTCTGTACCTTCCTTCTGGGTACAGCAGAGGTTGAACTGACTGAAGAGTAGCATCATGATCCATTTCTGCTGGTGGGAATAACATTGATTTCTTTTGTGTTTAAAACAACGGTTAGAACTGGATTGCTTTACAGAAACTGTTTGAACTGGATTACTCATACAGAAATGTATGAGGATCTGTCAATTTTTATAGTGTTTTTTTTTTCAATATCCAAATAAATTATAAGTGAAAGCAAAAACTCATAAATGTTTAATTTGAAATTGTTTCTGCTTCTGAATCAAGATAACTTGAGTTTATCGGACTAGATGTCCTCTTGTTGGGAAAATAAGCTGTGCTACATTCCTTATTTCTTTGTTTCTTTGTGATAGGTCTGCCCAGATGTTTGAGCTTTTGGAAATGATGTTTGAGTTTTTGAAACCCAGAGCCATATTCTATTCTTAGTACAGATTTCTTCATAATACTTCTGCTAATTTTAATGGGATCCATACATAAATCCATTTTGTAGATGCAGAGGAAGGGATCTTGAATGTTTTATTCTTCCCATCTGTGTATTGGGAATGCTATCTGATGAGGAGAACGAAAAGAGTGCCAGTTTACAGCAGAAAAGTATTAGAGGAATTCCCACCACACACCTCTCCTGCAGTGAAACAGAAGTATATGCTTACAGAAGAAGACTGTGAAGTTTGGTGTGAGCTTGGGTTTCAACTTCCTCCAAGCCTTGACGTGCTGGAATCCAGCATTTGAGTCCAGATCATTGCTATTTGACGGTCCAAGTCTCAGCTATGTGTAAAAAAATCCTGCTTAACCTTGGAAACTTGAAAGTCAGAATTTTAGTTTTTTTCTCTAAAATAACTGAAGATAAATGGACCCTATCAGAAGGTGATTTATTCTGCTTGGGTAGACCTCTTATGATGGGACAAATTTCTCTTTAAAGGCACCCTGGTACCACAGAAAGCATTTAAACAGAAGATACTAGGCTGCAGTAAGTCATGAAACAGTTCAGTTAGGTATTCACAGATTGCAGAGCAGTTTTTCAATAGAATATTGCTATATGTTTACAGCTGGGCTTGTGTTTTGTTACCACTTAGTGATACTTATGTTTTGGCTTACTAGTTTTACCAGCCTAGTTTAACCCCACCTGCAGGTATAATGAGTATACATTATGAGTCCACAAACTATATATGAATCCACAAACTTTTTAAAATCACTGATGGGAAAGAGGATGTCCTAGGAAGATATTACAAGAGGTTTGCTTTCTTTTAATATCTTTTTATACCATTCCTTCTAGATGCATGCTCTTGGCCTCCATTAGAGTCAGAGGACTGGGCTAAATGGACCATCTATCCCCATGTGTTACCATGTGCTATTCAGGAGACCTTATATACATACATGAATATAAGTATGCATATGCAGCAAGCCTTCCAGTCTCCAAGGTGCAGCGAATAATTATTGTCATCTTGTCCTGTGACATAGTTAGCAGGTCACATGAAGATACTAGTTAAGAACGCAGAGTCTCAATCTCTAGTTGTGCCTCTTACCTACACACACATCCTTCCTGCTTGAACTCTTCAGTATACTTCAGGCTCAACTTGAACTGCCTAGCCCAGTGATGGAAAAGAAACCCTTTTAGATCAGTGTATGGGGCTGTTAGGAGATTAATGTGAGAAGAGGGAATGTAGCTGCCAGTCTTCCTGCTGAGATGGCAGGAGTGCCACTTTCATGCTTTGCAGCTGCTCTTTGTTAAAGCCAGTAGAGAATGAGTTGAGCTTGCTCATGGAGCCCAGGTATGTAGTGCTCCTACCAGTGCCGCCAAATAATCATACATTAGTCACTTCATATTGTGTGTGTTCAAATATATGTAGATGTATGGTATGCATAGTTTATGTATAAATATGTAAAAATATACAAGTGTGCCTACATGCATCCAAGGGAAGCACTGGCATTTAGCTGCTGCGGTTCTAATGGCCTGGGGGCTAAGCCTTGAACATAATTTAAATACCCATAGCAGTCCTTCCTTCTTTTCTGCAAAAGGGCCATGCATGTTACATGCCTTTCATGCAAATTCAGTCTTTCTAGACACTTTTGAACAGTAGGACCAGCACTTTATTTGTCTTAAAGAAACATGAGTGTTCTGAACCTGCACTTTCTATGATAATGAAAGCATGTTTTAAACACAAGAAAGATTTCCAGTGATACAAATTTCTAACAGTACTGTCTCTGACAGTGATTTCTTATTATGTTCTTAAGTAGATCACATCACTGGTTTTCCACTGTTTTCCCATTTGAATGAGCCATTGCGAGCCTTGATTAATAATTGGAAGGATTGGAAGGATCCTCGCAAATGGAAGCTAGTTGTGAAAATGGGTGAATAAATACATAGATATATATATGGTCTATAGACATTCTGATGAACTTCACCTGAAGCAGCTCAATATCTCTGAGCTTTAAAAAGCATAGGAGATATTAGTAGTATTACATTGAGTTTTGTTCATTAAAAAGATGTTTGAAATGCATTACTCTGTTTAGTTCAGCAAGCATTCACCAGTTAAGTGATGAGTTATGGCCTTTTTATGGGACCAAAGCACAACAGGAGAAAGTATTCTATTTTCCTTTTCCAGTTTTTGCATTGTGACCTGACATTTATGTATATTGCATAAAGCAAATTCTGAGCACTGCAGCTTCAATGACTTGGGAACTGACAAATACTTTTTGTCGTTTTTACTTTCTTATTGTCGTTTTCTAAGAAGTTAAACATACTGTGCTATGCAGCTCTTTCCAGATAGCATAGAAAGGCTTTGATGGAGAGGTTAGAGGAGGCTACACCATAACTGTTTCTGTATGTCCAACTTTTCAGTATAAAAATAATGTGTACCTGAGTATAACAGAAATGGTTGTGTCTGCTTGATTGTATCTTTAGAAGCCTAAAAATCTAAGCTATGAATGATATGATGAACTAAGCATGTAACAAAAAAAAAAAAACTTCCCTTAAATTACTCAGGTCTTTGATTCAAGAGTCACTTTAGTTGAAATGAGTCAGTCTTCCTCTTGCTGGCACTGGGAAATTTAAGAAGAAAAGCAAAAGAATTCCTCCAGCATAACAATACCATCCATTGTAAGTCAGTGCCAGCCGGAGATATCAGGAAGCAAGGAGCTAGGCCAAATCAGCACTTATTTGTTAATTCCAGGAATGTTTCAAATATTTGAGGGCAGTTTCCGGACAGAGTGATGATAGTGGAGGGTTCTGGCATTACAGTTCGTTGGGGCATGATGGATCTTGTCTTTGGATCTGTTCACATTCAGGCACTCATTTCATTGCACTTTAAGTGATTGTCCTTCACACTGTTCCAGCAGGAGTGGCAAAAATCTGAATGGACAAATAAAGCAAACAGCCCATCGTCAGAGCCCCATCTGAAGGCTGAGCTCATTTTTCCTTTCTGTCTTTTTGAAACTTAATTTTACATCAGACCCAGAGGTCAAAATTCAGGCATTGCAGTTCAGGTGTGCTCACCTAGCAGCTACTGTATTGCAGATACTGTATTTTTAGGTCACTTTTAGAGGGAATTCATCTTTATCATTCCTTATTCCCTGGCTGTCCTAGTGCTTCTTCATTGTATTTGTGTTGCAGATTTATCAGGTCTTTTGCAAGTACCTCCACTCACTGTGCAGACATCTATTTTTTCAAGTGGTCCTCTGCCTTCATTACATCTGCTTAACTCACAGTTATTCTGCCATGCCTGGTCTAGTACACATTTCCTTGATCTCTTTTCTGTTTTTTTCTCTCATTCTCACAATTCAAGTAAGTCTCTGACCCTATGAATTGAATGCAGACATAACCAAGTGAAATTCTATGGCTTATATTACTTAGTGGGTAAAACCATGCTACTTGGACAGACTGCTGGAGCAGTAAATCTTGTAGTTTGTTCATTTTGATTCTGTGGATATTTCCTTCTGACCTCTTAGTTGCATCCAGACTTTTGCAAGAGCAACGTTTTATATCTTGATATGCAAAAAAGATGCGTACACAGCAGTGAGTTTCCAATCTTGATAGCATAAATTCACTCCGATTTTTTTTTTTTTTTTTGCTTTAAATCTAAATAAATTAGATTAAATTGCAAGGAAATCTGTAAATTGCAAGGACAAAAACATGGCTGAAAAGAAAAATGTTCATTTCTATTTTGCAGATTATTGTTCTGCAGTCACAGTATTTGAGCACGTCTCAAAAGTTCATTAGGCAATGCAGCTAGTATCTGTCATGAATTTACAGTCTTGTTTGGCTTTTGCTTCTCCTCATCCTGCTTCTGCTTTTCCTCATCCAGCAATGTGATATGGTACCCAACCTGCAAGGTTTTCCATGCTGTTTTGTTAGAGTCACCATGCCTTTTCCAAATCTGTTTCTAGGCTATTAACTTCTTCTGATCTGTCCTGTTTACTCACTTATCTAATTTTTTTCCCCTAATTCAGTGAATGTAGGTCTAGCATGCTTTCTGGAGACACAGGTCTGAATTTCTTTAAAGCAACCTTTCTGCTGTGATATAAGCAAT